CAGATGAGGACGATGAGTCTCTGTTGGGGAGCGAGTCGAATTCAGACAGCATCCTCTCTGACGACTCGGTGCTCCCAGACTACACGCTGCAGAGGACGGACAGCCGCGGGGAGCCGACACTATATCGAGCATGCGCCCGCAACGAACCCTTTGCTCTGAGAAGAATTCTGGAGAGAGGGGTCACAAAAGAGGAGGCCTCAGAGCTGGACATCAACGGCTGGGTGAGAGTCTCATTCATTAGTGTGTATATTCAGAATCTGTAAATCATAGCTCACATTGTCTTAAACACAAACACTGTCATTTCTCATTATCGTTGTCAATCCCCAACAGAATGGCTTGATGTTGGCTTGCTGCAAAGGTTTCGTTGATATCGTGTATGGACTCTACGCCTGTCCCTATATAGACATAAATCAGCAGGACAACGAAGGCAACACTGCTCTGATGATCGCATCCCAAGCAGGTAGGTCCTCCCTACACACACATTAACAAAACAAAGTTTAAGTTCAGAGGGATGAACATGGAAAGTACAACATAATTAAGGTGTAACTTGCCCATATACAACATAATGTGAATTTTAAGACTTACATTTTTTTTTTAAACCATAGGTTCAGTGTGTAGGATTTAGTGGCAGCTTCAATGATAAACTTACCTCCATAAAATCATACGGCTTTGAATATTCCCTCTTTTTAAACATTTAATCATACAGATTTGTTAAGTACAGTATATGACTACTTTTGAAAAATTACAACTCGGAAATTATGAATTGGCAAACTATTACATTTTTTCAATTTAACTCCAATATTTAGCAGACCCAAAAGGTTTTTCTTTTGCTAGTTCTTTTCCTTTCACTACATTTTTAATTTGCCCTGTTATTTGTTTTAAAATGTAATTGTATTTATATACAATGAAATATATTCACTGCAACTTTTATAGCTAAAGACTAGAATATTTGCACAACATGTAATGAATGCACTCACTGCAAATGGATGTGTCAAAATCCACAAACTGGACCAAATACTGAATTTGATCCAACCAGCATTATTTCAAAAGTCATACATTTTCCGACTCACTGCTGAACAGATCTCTGAATTCTGTGTTTTTCCCTACAGGTCATATCAACACTGTCCTGTTTCTTCTAAATTACTATTCTGGCATAGACACTGAAGTAAGGGATTGTCGAGGTTTCACAGCACTCATCAAAGCGGCTATGACCGGCCGCACTGAGGTAGTGGCTGCCCTCGTCATGGCTGGTAAGTGTTTTGGATAAAATCCTATTTATTTTTCATAAGAGCCTTGAGAAACTTGATAGATGTTTTTCATTATGTCTTCAAACTTACTGGAAAATATAGGAATTGCTGGCATCATACCAATACTTTTATTTTAATTAGACGTTAAGAGGTGATTTTATATTGCATATTCATAGATTTATAAATTATACAACTCAGACACTTCTGGACTTTTAAAAAATAATATTTAGACACTTAAGGCGCAACTTTTTTTAAACACTATTTTTCTCTGATCTTCGTCAATCAATAAAAACAATGTTTGACTTTTGACAAGGTTGCACTTTCTAAAGAGGTGCTATACTATGATATTATTGGATCTCCTTTTTAATACCCTGACATTAGCTGATTAACCAGGGCCCTTACAACCTTAAATAACAGTTATAGTTCTGGAGGTGAGAATAGCTGAGCCCACGGTTTATCTGTTTATCTGTTTGTGTATTTGGAGCCAGATAATTGTCAGCGAGTGAGTGTGGCAGTGACGCTGACCTGCTTAAAGGATCCTTCTGAGGACATTATCACATCTTAACATATCCTCCAGTAACCACTGATTTACAAGTCTTCAGGCTGGTTGCAGATTAACCCCTTGCAGAGCTATTTGTAGACTGCACACGTCTCCTAAAATCTCTGCCATTCATAATTTATTGTTTAACATTGCAGTAGGACTGCAAGTTATGAATGTTTACTTTATTGATTAATCTACTGTTTATTTGCATGATTAAATAATTAATCTTCTAGTATGTTTAATGTAAAAGAGAACTTCAAAAATGTCATTCATAATTGTTCAGACCTGACAGTCATATACAATAAAGAAAAGCAGCAGCTGGTTGGCCTCTGCCTTTTCCAAAGAAGACATTTCAACATGTTAGAGTGGGTAGAGCAAAGCTGTCAATCATAACCTTAATACAAACTGAATTCCATTTATGACCTTTAGTTTCAAGGTCCTGCCAGGACTTTGCCCAGTAATTACAAATGGTGACAGATTGAGTTGGTCCCTAGTTAATGTTATTTGTACCACATGTCCTTTTCCCACTGTAACAAGTCAAATGTTTTCTGTAAAGAAGGCCTATACAGTATGGTTATGTTAATAAGCCTTTTAAATCATTTTAAATGGCTGCATTCAATTAAGTTTTAAGTGTTTCCATTTTAGGGTCCTGGGTTTGTGCATTCTAGCTTACTGGTATGATCTGAAATAGAGCTATCATTCATTTGATTAATAGAAGGTGGTATTTGCAGTTCAGAATAGCACTAAAAATGAATAGATTTTTTCTTTTTTCTTTTCAGAATTAAATGAACCCTTGACTTTCTAATTCATTAAGTCCACCTTCTATATTGCAGGTGCTGACATAGATGCAGTAGACTCCACAAGAGGAAAAAGCTCTCAGGACTGGGCCCTGAAAACAGGGCGCTATGAGACCCTGCAGCGTCTCCGGCGCCTTACTATGCGACCAAAAGCTGTGCAGTTCTGTGAGACTTATATCCCTGAGTGGCCTGAGCTCAACAAGAGGGTAGCCAAGGCCAAAACGGAAAAAAGTACCAGGGAGAAAATCACCCAGCAGATCAAAAACACATTCGGATTCAGAATACCTCGTGACCCCGAGGACAACGGGGCCTTGGACAACATGGTGGTCATGACCACCTGTGTCCACAGTCCACTCATTTCAACTGGATGCCGTCCACTCTGCCCTACAAGCCCTCCTGAGCTGGGGAAGAGACGCCTAGCTGTGCCAGAGCTGGTGAAGAAACACCCAGATAAGGAATTAGAAGAGAGATCAGTGTGCCACAGCAACGGCTCAGTATCACACATCAATCCCACAATCCAGTCTGCTGAGTCCTCCTCAATGACGTGCTGTGCTGAGGGCGACCGGCGGGGCAGCGTGCTCGCAGCAAAAGTCACTACAACATTTATTCCCCGCAGTATGGCAAGAAAAAACAGCGTGTTCCCGTCTGGATGCATCCCAAAGATCGACATCGTCAGGCCTTCAAATGCAACACCAAAGAAAGAAAAGAAGAAAAAGAAGAAAGAAAAAGGTTTCCTGGAACTTCCCAAGTGGAGATACAAGGAGATCAAGGATGAGAAAAAGAAGGAGAAGAAGAAAGCTGAAAAGGAAAAGGCAGAGAAAGATAAAGAGAAAGACAACAAGAATGGCACAAAATAAGAGTTTCAAAAAAGAGCTGTTCCCTTTTTAGAACAATATTTCAATTTTCAAGGGCTTTTGCCTTTTTTAGTATAGCTGAAGATAAACAGGAGAGAGAGGGGACGGCATGCAGCAAAGGGCCACAGGTAGGATTCAAACCCAGGCCACTGCTGAAAGGACCCACATTATGTAAATATTTAGTGTTTAACTCAGGGAATGAGATTTTCAAACCAAATGTGTTGGAAACGACAAAAAAAATTATAACCTATAAACCAAAGGGGGAAAAAAGAGGAGACGTTCTCTTCCTAAAGTATGACTCTGAATGACCTCAAACAAGCACAGCTGAGTCTCTTTGGGAGGGGTTAGAAGCTTTTAGACTCTAATGTGTAAGGGTTGAGACAAATATTACATATTTGTTTAGTAAGGATAGAAAAGGTGATCCATGAGTATAAGCTATTGAAAATGTAGAAAATCCAAAAGGACTGAAAGGATGTTTTTTTAATGTTTACAATGTAATGCAATATTTACTTTATTTGCGCATTTATAATGTCTACCTCATCATTCACATAAAATACAGGCAGAAGGTCACATACTGTATGTACACCTGCATATCCAGACCTATGTAAGATGTAAATAAAGAAATGTGCAATAGCTCATGTGTGCTTTAAGCACAATTGTTTTATGTATTGTGTATTTTGTAAATAGATAGACTAAAACAAATTGTAAATACTGTACAATATTGTAGCAAATATTTATCAAAATGGTGGTTTTGTTTAACGTGTTATTGCCACTTTTCATACATTGCCAATGCCATATTCATATGAAATCTCCTGTTTTTATTAACTCTGTGAGAAATAAAGAAAACATTGATTCCTTGATGTTTAATGCTTACCTCAATATTTTCTCTTTGGTTCAAATGACTATGTGTAATGTGTTTCTGGCAGTGATCAACTGCACAAGGAGTTAGTTTCCTCTTATCACCTCTGTATCTATCATCAGGCAACTGCTTATAATAAGAGCTACATTTACGAATGATTGAATGGCTGGATGGACTTAATTAATAAAGTATATGTCAGTAAGTAAGTAAGTAAGTAAAGAAGTAACTAGGTGATAAAGTGAGTAAGCAGGTAATTATGTATCACAATTGTTCATCTATTAATGAGTACTTCATAGTTGTTCTTTTGTGTTATGTTATGCTGCAGGGTAGCTCGTGGATTTTACCCCAGGTGTAACTAAAGTCTTATTTGTAGTTTATTTCACATAATTAAACAGAATATGCAAGGTAACTCACTGTATGGTACTAAATAAATTCAGTGGAGTAAAAGTACACGATTTACCTCTGAAAAAATAGTGGGGTAGAAGTACAAAGTAGCAAAACAAATTAGCAAAAGGTAAAGTACAAGTCTCTCAAAATTGTACTTTAGTACAGTACTTGAGTAAATCTACTTAGTTAAAACAGATAGATAGATAGATAGACAGATATATATATATGATTGCCCGCGGCCCACCTCTGTAACCCCCAGTGTGTGTCTGTGCTGCTGCCTGCTGGTGGAGCATGTTAGTAAACTGTGCACTGGCAGCCTGGTTAGCTGTCATCATCAAGTCTCGCCACATAACGCTAGCTAACTTAATGTCTTAATGCCATGAACCGGGAATATATTGATCATGGCCAACCTACGGATTGCTTTAGCCGTCGTGGTTGTTCAGGCCGTCTTGTACAGAAGCTGCGAGGGTGAGTGACTTATTGTTTGTTGTCTTCCTAAGCTGCTGCTTCTGCTGCTGTTATGATCGAGGCGAACGGCTGTGCAGTTAGCTGTTAGCTAACGTTAGCTAGGTCAGCTAGCCTAGCCGGACGACAGATTCAACTGACACCGGTCAACATTCATTTAAATGAACTTGGGTGTTATTAATTAAACAGCTTTCATGTGTATGTGACTATTACACGATATCTCACCGTCTTTCTGTCGCTGTCGAGCTTGTTAGGTTAGTCTGAAACAGCAGCAGTTAAAGTCTGTGGCTCAGCGGCTGTAAGCAGGGTTAGCTTTGCTCTCTGTAGTTATTTACCCGCTGTGAACAACATTATATACCTTCCATTTAGTGAGCGTTTAACTACCTCTCTGCATCACATTAATAATATCTTAATGCATTAATAATCTTAATGATCTCTCTCATGTTGCTAATGATGGCACGTCATACATACAATATTTACACTTTTTAAATCTCTAACGTTACAGGTTTTATTCTGGAAATGATGTTGTGCTTTCATTATTAATATCATTATTATTATTATAAAGCATAGCTGTTAATACTAATAACAATAGTAATAGTTTGATAGGTTGTCCTATCATAATGTACACTACCTTCAATTATGTATATTGTGTATTAAATATATATACTTTATACTTGTACTTTATTTTCTTCTGCTGATATGTGTATATGTATTTTATTTTATTATTTATTCATGTGCAATGTATTATCTAAATGCTGCTGTTATGAAAAAGTGTCCCAAATGTGGATCAATAAAGTATATCTTATCTTATTTATGAATTTATAGAGCACTTTTCATACAACAAATATAGCTCATGGAATGTGAGAGCTTGTGAAGTATCAAAACACCTGCTGATTACAGAGCCTGAAATGTTAATGAAAGTACAAATCAGATAATATCTGAAGGGGCATAGGAGGCATCCAGTTTTCCTAAAAGTAAAACCGTCTATATTAAGATCAACTTTTATTATTAGTAACGCACACTTTTTTTACCAATGCATTTTTTAAATCACAATTGAACGGCCCCTGTCAGTATCTTGGATGGATTCCTTCGATAAGGTGTTTTTTACAATCATCCCAATGTGGATTAGAGTTATGACATTTATAGCCATCTAAAGTCTGAAATGTCTCATTTAATGTTTAGTCAGCGTTTATCTCCATTATCTTCTTTGGTTGTTTTGACCAACAGCATCTGCCAAGTAGGTGTTGCCATTATATGAGTCATCACCACAGAAGATGTTGTAACACATTAACTCTACATTTCTCCTGTTTCACGTAGATGACACATATTTCAGGTGTATATGTGTGGGTTTTCTAGCAAACACATTCAGCTTACATGCTGAAATTCTGAAAGTCACATAATGTCTGTGTCTTAATATTATTACTTAATATCATGTATTAAGAAGGATCAGTGTCTTGTTTGTCAAATGACAGTCACATCTGGTAATTTCATCTCTACTTGTGCATGCCATAAACACCCCCACCTCTAACACTTCCTCTACTTCCTGACCTCCCCACAGTCCTCACCTCTCTAATTCGTATTTGCAATACATCACTCCCTGCTAACTATTTCTAGTTTTACTGGTTATTGTCATATATTGATTCGGCTGAAAGGATATTTAGCATATTGTTTGCAAAACTCAAAAAAGAAAAAAAGATCTTTGAGCATACATTTGACTGTTTTAGAGCCAGAATGATTAGTCGCCTAATCTAATAATCGATTGAGAGAAACAATCTGCAACTATGTTAATAATTTAATTGTTAAAGTCATTTGTTATGCTAAGGTTACAGAAAATTCAGTTTTCAACTTCTCAAATATGTGAAAATGCATTTCTAATTTATATCAAACTACTTTGTTTCACACTGTGTTGATTCTTCTGCCACTTTCGTCCCTGCAGCTCTGCGGTGTAACTGCACCACTCCGCAGTGTGAGAGGAATGGCTTCCAGTGTGAGACTGATGGGGCCTGCATGGCCTCCACTTCCTTCATCGAAGGCCAAGAGCAGAGCATCCGTATCTGCATAACACGGGACAACCTTGTGCCCCCTGGACAACCGTTCTACTGTCTCAGTGCAGAGGGCTTGCTCAACATCCACTGCTGCTACACAGACTACTGCAACAGCATTGACCTCAAAGTACCCACAGGTGAGAACTGTGTATCATGTTGTATATACAGTACGACTGGAAACACTTCTTGCACTTGAGAGTGTTCATGAGCTTGAAATCTTCATGCTAACATGGTAAAAAGAAGATTGTATGTTAGTGTTTAGTGTTCAAACTGCAAGCTGACAGATGTTTTGGAGTTGTTATTACGACTTGAAGAGCTTTCACATGAATGTTCACCGTTCGGAAACTATTTTTCCTTTTATTCCGACACCAAATGAATGCAGCACAAAATTGATTAGGTTCTTCCTTGGTCCATGCTACACTCTTCTACCAAGTTTCATGATAATCAGGATTTGTTCAGAGAGACTAACTGAGCTGAAATCATTATCTCCCCCTTGTGTGTTTTCACCTTGAGTTCCACACATCTAACGTCCGCTCATACATACAGTGTGAGTCAAGCACAGGCAAGAACATGTTTCCTGTTTTCTACACAGTCTGTGACTCATGGTTCCTGAGAAGATACAGGTTTCCTCTGGTTTTGTACAGTGTCCAAAAATATTAATCAGAGTGTGTATAGAGAGAAGAATGTTACTGTGGAAACATTGTGACAGGAAATTGTCGACAGTACTCATCCAAAGCATGCACAAAACCATAAGTTCATATAAAGCTTTTAACTAAAAAGCAGCACTTCATAGACTGGTACAGTATAAACAAAGGGACTAATATTTTTAAAATACCTTGTTCTAGGGCTGTGCGATTATGGCAAAAATCATAATCACGATTATTTTGGTCAATAATTGATATCACGATTATTAAATACGATTATTCATTGACTTTGAAAACATCCATTTATTGAACTTTAAAATACAAATAATAATTTGAACAGTATCTTTTTAACTGTTGATTTCCCTGAACGTATAATTCAACTGAAAAACCAATACAAAAATAAATAAATTAAATTATACATTTATATCTACATTTAAATAAATAATATCAAAATAATAAATACCAATAAACAAGATCAACAAATATTTTGGAGCGCACTTCCCCAAGCTACTAAACATATATAAATATGATAAATACAAATAAATGAGACCAAAATAAATTAGATCAAATATGTTGCACTGTCACAACCAAGCAAAGCTAAATAATTGTTTTTTTCGATTATGTTGTTTTCGTAATTGTGGCAGGCCAAAATCGTAATTGCGATTAAAATACGATTAATTGCACAGCCCTACCTTGTTCACTTCCACAGTAAGTGATTCACGTATTTGACGTTGGATAATTTTTGAATAATAATGGTACTAGACTAGTACAGTCTGAACAAAGTTAGGAATGCTTCAAAATATGAGAAAGGTCAACAAAAGGAATACGCAGACTAATCAAATGACAGTTCTAGAATGTTGAATTCAAATTCTAGAATGTTGGACACAAATTCTAAAATGTTGAATACGAATTATAGAATGTTGAATTTAAATTCTAGAATGTTGGATACAAATTCTAGAATGTTGAATACAAATTCTAGAATATAAAATGACAATTCTAGAATATTTAATGAATTAAACATTAAATGTTAATTTCATTGTAATTCAACATTCTAACACTGTAAGGTAACATTCTAGAATGGTAATATGTACTGAGTGCCAGATATTGCATTTCATTCTCGACTTTTCTGTCTTTCAGTCACCACTCAGGCAGGACCCGGGGGAGGCTACGGCCCAGATGGGACATGGGGGCTGGTGGAACTAGTGGCTGTGGTGGCAGGGCCGCTGTTCTTGCTGTGTCTGCTGCTTCTGACCTTTATGTTCCTGTATCAGTACCACCAGAGGGCCTACAGCCACAGGCAAAGGTTAGAGGTGGAGGACCCCTCCTGTGATCATCTCTACATGACCAAAGACAGTACCCTGCAGGACCTCATTTACGATCTGTCCACGTCTGGTTCAGGCTCTGGTCAGTGCACAACGTCATAATGTACACTGATCAAAGATGTAAACGCAACACTTTTTATTTCATTCCTATTTTCACGAGTTGGAAAAAAAGAGATTCCAAGTTTTTCTGTGCAAAAGGCTTATTTCTCCCATTTTTTTTTGCACCAATTAGCCAAAATCCTCATTAGTGGGTACTCCTAATTTGCCAAGATAATTCCTCCACCTGACATGCTGTATATAGTGATTTAATACTATAATTATTACAGATATGTGCTATGCAGTTTAAGGGCAACAGCTCTGGGACGATGGCACGCTCCCTGAACTTGCAACATCTGTAGAGTTGGGTTTTGTGATAAAAATGCCAATTATAGAGTGGCCTTTTATTGGACCAGCCCAAGTTACACCTGTGTAATAATCCTTTTTGTTTAATCAATATCTTGATATGCCACACCTGTCAGACAAGAAATGCTCATTTACACGGATTTTAACAAATTCAAACCAAAGTTTTAAAGAAATACGCTTGCTGCATGCAGTCTTTTATTCTTCATTTGAACTTAAGAAGAATTCAAGCAAAAGCAAAAGTGTTTTTATTTTTGCATGGTGTAGCACAAGAATATGAAAAGACTGCTGATAACTGTTCTTATCTTTTCTAAGCAGGCCTGCCTCTATTTGTCCAGCGGACTGTTGCCAGAACAATTGTCCTCCAGGATATCATTGGTAAAGGGCGTTTCGGGGAAGTGTGGCGAGGACGTTGGAGGGGAGGTGACGTGGCGGTGAAGATCTTCTCTTCCAGGGAGGAGCGCTCCTGGTTCCGTGAGGCTGAAATCTATCAGACTATCATGCTGCGCCATGAAAACATCCTGGGCTTTATAGCTGCTGACAACAAAGGTGCAAACCTGTTAAATGTTGTATAATGGGAGAATAATTCACAGCTCAGGGTGAAGTGTGTTGTATTTGTTATGTAATCATTCATCATTTTCAATTACATTTATAATGTTTTGTATATGTCTATATTCCCATCTCCTGCCCAGACAATGGCACATGGACCCAGCTGTGGTTGGTGTCAGACTACCACGAGCACGGCTCCCTGTTTGACTACCTGAACCGCTACCCTGTCACCACTGAAGGGATGATCAAACTTGCACTGTCAGCTGCCAGTGGCCTGGCACATCTGCACATGGAGATACTGGGAACACAAGGTGACTGCTTCATTTATAATGCAACACATAAAGTGCTCCTGTTATTCATTTCTCTTTTGTCTCTTTCCTCTCCCCACAAGGCCTCCTATTTTGACAAATTACCTTAAAGGTCCCATGACATGGCCATTTCTACTGATCATAATTCCATTGTTGAGGTCTACTAGAATAGATTTACATTGTTCAATGTTCCAAACTCACATTGGTTTCTCATACAGCATCTCTGTATAGCATGTGTATTCACTCTCTGTCCTACACGGCTTGTTGGAGCTCCTGCCCCCCCCTCCCTATGAGCCCACTGTGCTCTGATTGGTCAGCTCGCCCACTATGTTCTGATGAGTCCACCACCGTTACAGCGGAACATCAGTGTTTATGTGTTACAATGGCGTTTGTTAGCAACCAGAAAATGACCCCAGTAACGGGCCGTCTCCACGGCAGCGTTAAAAAATCTTGAAACGCTTCTGCCCATTCACTTTGAATGGGGTGACGTCACTTTTTTTCGCTTTCGCCGAAATGCATTGTGGGCAGGCGAGCGGAGATTCTCAGGATTTTCAAGATCCAAAGTTGAACAATGTTCAACTTTTGAGGCTGAGGTGGAAGCGTCAGCCAATCAAATCCCGTGTACGCAAATCTGACAGTTCAAGCTCTAGCCAATCAAACGGCGTGTATGCTGGGAGAGAAATACCGCAGGTCATTTCCTCATATTCCAAAAAATGGAGGAGAAATTAGCGGTAGCGAATCAATCACCCGGTGCTTTATGACCAGACCTACCGGGATATAAACCGGAGGAGCCAGGCATGGAGGGAGGTGGCAGAGACAGTGGTAGGTTTTCGCCTGTTTTGGGGAGTTTATATCCAGTTTACTTCGGGCTTTTTTGCTTCGTATGTCGCGGGCGGGAGATTCATGTGATTGGTTGCTCGCAAAAAATCCTCAAGCTTCAGATACGCCCACCTCCAAGATTTTTGTAACGCTGCCGTGGAGACGGCCCGTAATGACAAACAGATGAGAATGCTGCGTGGGGTCTGGGTGCCATGTTGGCGGGACGTTGCGGGGCTCGCTGCTCCGCCCTTTGAGGCTCGAGGAGCGGACAGTGTGAGCTGGATTACTGGTGTCGTTTCCTGGTTGCTGCGTGGGGTCTGCGAGACAGCGAGACACCGCGGAACTCAGCCTGAGCACACACACACACTCACAGCCAGGCTGCGCACGCGCGGAGATCCGCGGAGCCACGGCTGAGAAAAGATAAGGCTGAGTGAGTGTGTGCCGGCAAAGCTCCGCAGAGTACCGTGGCTGAGAAAAGATAAGGCTGAGTGAGTGTGTGCCGGCAAAGCTCCGCAGAGTACCGTGGCTGAGAAAAGATAAGGCTGAGTGAGTGTGTGTGTGCGGAGCCGTTACGTCACTATGACCAGAAAGAAAAAAAGAAAAAAAGAAAAATCTCCAACGAGGCGTTCTGGGGCAGCATAGACAGGTATTTTCTGTGTCTTTTACATGCATAAAAAGCTACATAACACACAAGGGGACGGGTAATAACCGGAAAAGGATGTCATGGGACCTTTAAAACAAATGTTTAACCCTTTGAAAACAAATTGGGAAAATAAATAATTTAGCTTAAAGAATTATAATAGAAATTGACTGAACAAATCTTAGTTCACTTTGCCCAAAACAACCAGAGCGAAAAGTTTTAACCTTTTTCCAATTATGTACTTTATACATTTGTTGTGGCTAATATAAATAGTTTCTTCTCTCTTGTCTTTGTCATCTGAGTTATCTTAGGAAACAATTCACTCTGAATCCTCAGCTACCCGTATGGAGTTTAAAGTAAAGTCAATTTGTTGCTCAAATTGGGGGGTGTTTTTCTATTTTTATTAACCAAACTGATGGCCAAAAAGAATGTTATAGTTTCTAGTTTCTCAATAAAGAGAATCGACATTGACCTTAACAAAAAAACAATTTAGGGATAAGAGTTCACAATTGTCTGTCATGTACACTTCTGCTTTGGTAGGAAAACCAGGTATCGCCCACAGAGACCTGAAGTCCAAGAACATCCTGGTGAAGAAGAACTGCACCTGTGCCATCGCTGACCTGGGCTTGGCTGTCCGTCATGACTCTGCCTCCGACACCATCGACATTGCACCCAATCAGAGGGTGGGCACCAAGAGGTCAGTGTCAACACCCGCACCTGCAGCTGCTGACTGTGCTTCTCACAGATATCTTTGACATCTTTTCCAGAAAACACTTTGACACGTATTTACAGACTGAGATTGTTCTTACATCTCTCAGGTACATGGCTCCAGAGGTTTTGGACGAGACGATCAACATGAGACACTTTGACTCGTTCAAATGTGCTGATATCTACGCTTTGGGGCTGGTCTACTGGGAGATTGCACGCCGCTGTAATACTGGAGGTCAGACTCGTTTGTTTTTACTCTGGATACTCAACCTGTGGTGTTTTGATATTTGTATCCATGTTAACAACGGAGATCACAGCACTGATCTGACCCCGCCTTTGTCCCGTGTTATCAGGTATCCATGAGGAGTACCAGCTGCCCTACTACGACCTGGTACCGTCTGACCCTTCCATAGAGGAGATGAGAAAGTTGGTCTGTGACCAAAAGCTTCGACCCAACATTCCTAATTGGTGGCAGAGCTACGAGGTATAACAATGATCGATTAAAGCAATATGTTTTAACTTTTCAAGATCTGACTTATACCAGAATGGTAATTCCAGTTTATTACAAGTTCAAGTTCATTGCTAGGATCTAGAAATGCTTGGTAATCACTAAAGGAAGTCCAAGAGGTTATTAGGTTAAACCCCAATGTTGAATTACTCTAAAGGTAATAATATATACAAATTATTTAAAATATCTATAAAAGACTAGACCTATGATATATATTTTGTTGAGTGGTTTACTTACATTATAGCAAATGTTTCCAATATTCAAACTTAGAGAAATCCATCACTTTAATCAAAGTACCAGTCCATCCTGCAATGATAAACTGCCAAATCCTACTTTTTCTGTTAAATGTTTGGATTGGGGGCTCCCAGTGGCAGAAAAGTGACATATTGTGCCTTTTAATATGGTCATAATTTTTCTCCCAGAAATATTTGTCAAACTGTTTACAGGCTGTCTGCTCTTGTGTGTTTTCATGTGCCAAGGGAGATGCACATTATGGCTGCGCTTGCTCTCCGTTAATCGTACTTAATCTGTTGGCTTTTTTACAACTAGAGCCAGATATGTCGGCCAGTATTACTAGATTTAGTGACGCATACACCAGTACAGGTCATTAGAAACTGGTGCACAGAAATGCCAAACTTATATCTTTGTGTAATTTAGTTGCTAGAAATGACAGCCAAAGCTAGGACAAATTAGCCTAACAATGCAATGAAGTGAGTTATCCTATAAAGCTCTTTTTGAATGCAATTGAATTGAATTTTTTAAGCCTAATAAGTGTTTTGACACAGGAAACACAAAACTATTTTAAACAAATGTTGAACATTATGCATGGACTTCTTGAGCTACATTTGTGTCATCATAGCTATGTATACTGTATTACGAGCTATTAATCCTTATCTGCCCCATCTCCATGTTGTCACAGGCCTTACGGGTAATGGGAAAGATCATGAGGGAGTGTTGGTACTCGAATGGAGCCGCCCGCCTGACGGCCCTGCGCATCAAGAAGAGCCTCTCCCAGCTCAGCATTCAAGAGGACATTAAAGTGTGAGCTCAGAGAACGAGCACTGAGCACTACCCGACTCCAGACTTTTGAAAACTGAGCACTTTGTAAAATATTTCTCCATTGACACTCCTGCCAGTTTTGAAGCCACTTGATTTCTGACCAACCCTACCTCGCTTACCCAGCCAAACTACCAAGAACACCTTTCCTGTCTTGTCCTCAGCTACTGCTGCCCTTTTTGTCCCTCTCTACACTCCGTACTAACAAGGATCCTTGGGTTTCCTGTGTACTTGTATGCAATCGATTGCAGGACATGTATTTAACCATTTAACATTCTGAAAATCAGTTGCTGATATCTCCTCAAGGTCTCTTCGATCACAGTCGCTTAATAGTTAACACATTTGCTCTTCTTGTGTTTGAAAGGGTGCAAACTGGGAGTGTTTTTAACTTATTTTTACTTATTCTGTTATTCAGATGACTCGATCTTGTTAATATATGGGGTGTTTGTGAGGCTATTGTTCAGGTTTCTCTGTGCCACCTACAGCATACAGGCACATATCACTAACTGCTTAGAAATCCTTCAAAGAGAGCTATCCATCTGGTTCTGCTACCACTGTGTTGTTTGCTTGTATGCTGATTACCATGTAAGCATGTACAAAGCACTTAGGGCAGTTTGTGTTTGAAAACTTCAAAGTCATAGGAGCTTGGCAACTTGCCAAACATGATTTAGCCTTTGGACCCCTTGCCTGGAGCCCTTTCCCATAAGCTGTTGTAAACCTCAGGTTTTCCTTATGCTATCCAATCAACAAGTTGTTTTGGCTCTTCATCTTAAGCAACATACAGACATAGGAATCAAGCAAAATGTATTAAAGTAGGATGGGGGGTTGAATGTAGAGCAACAGCTGCCAGGGTCTGTGTGTTTTATTTGTTGGATCTTCTTAGCTGAGACACTGGCTTCGGATTGGGACACTTCTTACATAAATACATGTAGAATATTTAAATGGTTGTATCTATCTAAAGCCGCTGTGTTTGATCAACCCACAGAACATAACCTGCCATGAGAGTAAGCTCAGATAAGCCGGTGTGCACGACACTCAGATAAACCTTACGTTCTTTGCAGCAGCGAATCCTATTTACACTGTACTTTCAAACATGGGATTTTTTTTATTTTGAATCCCTTTTTAAATACACTAACCCTGAATCTGAATCATAGCTTGTTTTTATTATACGTTTTTAATATATTGTCAGAGCATGTCCAATGTTCCTTTCCCTGCAGGGCATATATTTCCTGGCCAAGTATAAATACTGCACATAAACTAGCTGTTTAGGATGATACTAGTGTAAATAAGATGGTTCAATTGGATTTTATGTCGTGTTTGAAATGGTTGAATCTCTTACTAACTTGTGTTTTGTTTTTGATGACGATCTACTGTTTGACCTCTGAAATGATATTTGTGTGTGTCACAGCTCTAATGTTGACTTTTCTCTAATAGCCGTCTATGACTGCTCAGCAGCATTTGATTTTTCCCTTCAAAGCTCCGTTTGTTCACCATACAATACCTCCTCAGTGTGCAAATTGTAGGTGGATTTTTTTCCATCAATCTAACTTTGTCAGAAATCACTGTCGAAATGTTTTGTTTTCAGGAAATAGGTGCACTTTTGTCTTTAGCTGTATGCAAACTCAACAGGTACTTTGTGTGTGTGTGTGTAATCTTTCCCGTGTTATTTATATTTGTATGCTGTGAGTCCCTACGCAAGGCTGAAGGCCACGTGTGCACTACTACTGACCTCGCAGCATTAAAACCAAATGTTCTCAGAATTATCTCTGGTCATGTCCTCAAGTGTTTATTTAAGATCACACCACTGAAAATGAGAATGTTTATACAAATCACGCCAACCAGTTGCAGAACTCTGCTGACTAGAGACTGTAAGGAGGATCTGACTTTGTCTTTGGGAGAAGAAATGTAACTAAATACTACTGAAATGTCTGAATTGCTGTCTCAAAAATGTGTTTGACCAATACTTTTATTTTAAAAATCACTCTTTCCCTGAATGTTTAAGTCTTTCAGGATGTATGTAAGAACAAAGAGACTGCCCTTGAGGCTGTGAAAAAATGTGTAGATCTACTGTTTGATAAGTGGTTGAGTGTCAACCATGACATACACACTAAAGGGGAATGACTGTCTTGTCCAATAGTACCTGCCTTACAATGTATAAAATGCATAGTGTATTTAAGGTTGAAATACCTTGCTCCAAGTGTCACCAAGAAAGAAAGAAATTGGTTGTTATTCTGCAGGCAGTGAAAGAGACGACTGCATCCATGTAAAAACCCCTTCAGGACTTCAATCATGTACCTTCTAATATAGTAATAAATGCAATTGTTTTCATAATTGGTGTGTATTTATTTTACTTTCTTTCATCTCGACCAACCAGACTTTAAGTGAAAAAAAGGTACTAATGACATTTATCTAACCTGTCCTAAAGTATGACTAGGCATTATATTTGTATGAAATGTATAACTTGACATAAATGACGATTATTCATTTTAAACAAATAAACAATAACTTCAGTCAGTATTAATTGCGTAACATCCGATCACATACTGATTCCAAACACAACGCCATCACATGTGTGCGGCCAGATACTGGTTAAAGTTACACACACTTTGCTCTGTATATAATATTCGATCTGAAAATATAAAAGTATCTCAGACAAGTAACTCAAGTCATGTCTCCATTCAAGTCACAAGTATTTAGTATCATGTCATTTATTTTCTGTAAAAAAAAAAGCAAATTCATCAACAGTACATTTAGTCGACTCAAGTCCAAGTTACAATAACATGGGTCAATATCTCCATGACCAACTCATATAATAAAGTACAAACCTCAAATTTGTATTTAAAAAGGTTGCCATATGATGTCATTTTGTTATGTGCTTTTTTCCACTATCTAAAACTGGACAAATGACTTCATTCTGGTTCACCGAACAGTTTAATGTTGCAGTGTGAATCAATTTCATATCAGATACCTGGTTACATCTTTAGATTAAGGTTATATCTGGTAATATAAAACATTTAACAATAATACCAATTTAAAACAATCTCTTTAAGAACCTTTTATTGCTCATCCTTCCAATGTTAATCTCAATGCATATCACTGCATAACTGTGCGTTTACAAACAGGTGTACACATACAATTTACATATGTAGAAACATGAAGTGTGACAGGTTCCTGGCCCATCCTCTTTTGAAAATGGAAAAGGGAAATGCTGGTATTGAGTGATTTTGATAAAGTCCCCTAAATACAATTAACATTAAATGTTTAACTGAACGCAGCAGACATCACACATCATCACTGACTGTGACTGACATCAACAGAACACACTAAAAAGGTAGAAATCATAAAGAAATCAATGCCACAGACATGTTCACTTGACCATTTGTATTTAGGTGGACCAAACTTTAAAAAACTAAAGCTCATTTGTAGCAATGCAGCAATGGTTAAGTCCCTTTAATGATAATAATGCCAAAAATCCAAAGTGTGATTAACAAAACGGGAAGAGAACAAATGTCTTTCTAAAGTCAAATATACAATCCACTAAACATGTTGTCACGTGAAACACAGACAAAATGGCAAAACACAGAATCCATAAATATCCAGAGCATTTAACGGTCATCTCCTCCAGGATTCATTGATACTGTTCTGAATTGCACCAATGACCTTCTCTTGACAGCCTAATATTATTAAACTCTTCTAATACTAGAGTTGCAACGATGAGTAGGCGAGTCTGTTTTGAATAATGGATTAGTCTAGTCTAGAAAGGCTTTTTCAGCCTCTTAAATATGGACATTTCCTGCTTCTCTCTGTTTTTGGATCATGTGAAATTGATTATTTTGGAGTTTGCACCGACAAAACATGACATCTAAAGACATCACCTTGGACATAGAGAAACTGACAGTTTTCTGACATTTTATAGATAAAACAAAACAGATCCATTCTCTCAGCTACATTGTTGTCTGGCTTCACAACTAATTCGATCCTGAGTCCTTATATTCTTTGCACCTTTAACATGTAATCAATTGATTTAATTGTTGAAACAATTCCTGGCTTAATTCAAATGTAGTCAGACCGTGACGGGGCCTTTTTCGTTTTACCTGTGAAATCATATTCTAACACAAATGACCAGTGCAGACGACTAGCAGTCTCCTTCAAAGTCTAGAGTTTGTATGATTAATTGAGCTAAACCCAAAGCAAAGTGTAGCATTAAGCTAGTGTATGAGAGACACAAATACAGATAAATATTTCTGCAACCATATAACCTTCAAAATTAAGTTTTAGGTTTTTCTAGGTAACATTTTTACGAATCCTCCAACCACGTCTAAATAATAAAACCAATTGGAAAAACAAGATCATTTTGTCAAGAAAAAACAAATCATTTATGTACAAAGTACAGGACACAGGCTAATGTTGGAACTTCCCAGAACAACAATGCACACCAAATATTAATCTGAAAAATAAACAGTGTTTAAAAGTCTTTGACAAAGGCTTTTGTGCATTCATATTCCAGCTGTATTAAAGAAATGTAATTCTGCCATCAAAAAGCATTACAGGTAAATCCGTTTTTATTTAGCTAGTGACCGATTACATAATTTAAACTGATGTGAATGAATTTGTGATAAGAGCCATAATGACTGGCCTAAGATCATGGAGCACAGCGGTGGGAATGATGCCTGCTCAGAGAAGACGGCTCCTCATCCAGAGGTCTTCACATCTCTCCTTGCTTGGAATTTGGCTCGTTTTACAGGAGCTTCTGTATGTCTTATGCTACTACCATTTTGTTTTGCTGTGTTGCTAAAGCTTTATATTTTAGCAGAGAAGGCGAAGTATTCACGTGTTAATATAGGAAGTCAGGAGATAGGTGATGGTACTTCAATATACACATGCCTGTTCTCTCTCCATTTGCTCTGACCTTCTCTTAAAATTGTGTAGCCTTTCTTGTTTCAGAAACATCCTCAAGCTGTGCCTGTGGACAGAAAATAAAAATCATTACTTAGTTCATCATAAACACATTTAGTAGAGATCACCGAATGCAATTTTCTTGGCCGATTCCAATTATCTTTTGTCTGACATGATTTCCATATTTTTTCTAAAACAAAATTAAAAGTATACACAAAATATGTGTTGTAACTTTTCTGTAAAGGAAAATTAAACTGTATAATCCTACAGATATGAATCAGAGAAAGTATCATTCTATACTGTGTAAGTTGGCCAATAAGCTGACTGCCTGTCAGCTTTGATAGTAACATTTATAAATTCAGGAAACGTGTGAATGATTACTTCTTTTTATAGTGTGTATTTGTATTCTGTAATTATATTATGCTGTTGCTTTTACTTAAAATGAGTCTATTCAAAGAAATCTTAAGAAAGCTACACAACTGTACTGTACTTACACTCTTCCCCATCGGTTAGGACTAATGCCTGGAGAATATCTGAAAGGGAGACTATTCCCTTCACCACTTCCTGCTCGTCCACCACCACCAGTCTGTGCACCTGAGGGAAACACCACAATCAACGTCACTCTCACCTCTGGAAAACTGTATTTCTACAATGGCCAGAAGAATTTATACAGAAACTGATAGAGGACATGCCAGGTGTCAGTAGTTGTGTTGATAAAGTATCTTCAAGTGTTTTGTTTGAGTTTCTATTTAATGCAAAATCAGAGAAAAGCTACTTGTAGCCTAATGTACTTTCACATGTGTTTAGTCACCCACTTAGTACTTTAATTTTAAACATTTCTGACACGGTTTATCACAGGGCATTTAAACCCTGGACAGTTATAGCAAAAAGCAACAGGGCCATCAGCCACAAGGCTACTCTGTGACACATGATGAAATCCAACACTCACCTCGGCCTCCACCAATCTGTTGATGATGGCCTCCAGGGTCTCGTGCCTGTTGCAGGTCAGCACTCCTTCAAAGTACTGAGAACGGTGCTGCAAGGCTTTTGTCACCGTCAAGTCCAGGTTGTTATACGTCTTCTCTGCTGCCAGATTCTGCAGCAACACAGGTCTTTAGGTTAAATATGTTACTTTTTTCAAAAGTTTGAAAGAAATACAGAGGCAATTTTAGCCTCACGTTTCAAAATCCTTGTTTATATTCACATCTCAAGTAAGCCTGAGTAATATGAAGAAATCCTCTAAAATACTATATGAAATATTGCTAAAATTAATTTGTAAACTGAACATTTTGGACTGTTGGGCAAATCAAGCAAACATTTGTATGCATTAATCAGGGCATTTGGAAATTATACAAGCATCTTTGTGCATGTAAAAAGAAAACATGATAAAAGATGAATAACAACTTACTATAACATCAAATTTTGAGTATATATCCACCACATGACCTGCAGGAGAAGCACCATATTAGTACACAAACTAACACAATTAAAGAGGTCTTTGTCATTGATGCAAAATCAACAAGGGTGTCATTTCAAACTGCCCTCATACCTTTGTCATCCACGACGGGGAGCGCCGACACTCGCTGTTCAACAAAAATACCCAGCGCCGTGTACAGCGGTGTGTCTGTGCGGACCACTGCTATGTTTTTGAACGTTCCGATGTTCAGGTCCTCTAAGGTTTGTCCCAGGAAAGAGGGTTTTGGCATCTCTGATATCTGGAAACAATAACAAGAGATTGTGCACGCTTTATCAAAACTGAGGGAGATTGGATGTCTATGTAAATATTGTTAGAATTATAACTTTTTCCTTAAATGTAGCAAATAGTCTTTACTCTATACTCATCATCTGCCATTATATTGAATGTATTCAATGTAGTACTGGTACGGAGCGTATAGAGATAACTTACAAAAAGCTTCAGGAACTTGAGAATCCTCTTGTGTGTGAGAATATAGAGTGTGTTCCCGGTCAGGGGGTCGATGACAGGCAGTCTGTGGATCTTATTCTTCAGCAGGGATGATACTGCATCATACAAACTGAGACACAGAGAAGATTAAAGAGGACTAAGTCAATCAAGGTGTTTTGGACAAAGCATGTTGTAAGATGAAAAAAGTGAAAGGGAAACAATCTAAAGAATAGCAAATAATGTTAGCTTTTCAATTATTGGTAAAATAGTGAGAAAATTAATCTTTACAAGTTAAATACTAACATAATTTCAAATCTCCCAGCATCTTTATTTAGATTTAGAACACTTTGAAACTATTGGAGATATTGATTACTTCATGAAGTTAATATGAATCCTACTATCAATCACACAATTGTAGAAAAGCTGCTTGTAGCCTCATCTTATTGCCAGTTAGTGTTTGAACTCTGCCTTTATAAACACAGGCTAAACTATCAGATGCCTCCGTGTGCATCATCTGTGTGTCCAGATAAGA